CGAGCCCTCCAGCCTCACGCAGAGCGAGGGACAGAACCACTGCCACCAGCACAGCCCGGCTCCAGCTCCTTATCCTCTCACCTTGCTGTCCTCACCTTGGTGTGCTCTAATCTGAGCAGCACCCAGAGCTCCAAACCACTTTGCAACCAGGTTTCGGAAACACTTCACGACTTCATCCGAGTTTGTGCTTTGAAGGAGAGGAAAAACCAAGCACTGACCCAACAGACCTTTTTGACAGCCAGGAAAGTTAAAGCCTTGACATCCTGCATAATCCCTGGAGTTTGCCCCGGACGGAGATTTAGAAAATTGACCTAAATGGGAAACCAAAACAAATTGCAGCTGCCCAGCATCAGGGCGAGCAGCAGGAGCAGCAGCAGCCTGCAGCTGCCTGAGCAGTTTCGCTGCCCCGGGAGCAGCACTGCCCGAAACCAGCCCTCAGCAAAGCTAACGGTGCCGGCGGCAGCAGCCAGGCTGTCACAAACATGAAAACCAAGGGCTGGAAGCTCTTTTCTCCCGCTTTCGTTAGTGATTTCAATCAGCAGAGCCTTTTTCTCCCGCCGGCCTCACACCTCCAAAGCAGCTCAGAGCCTCTGGGGACAGCCAGGCCGGGCACTGCCTGGGTGGCACTGGTGGCGCTGGGAGGCCACAGGAGCAGCCGATGGAAGATGCTCCTGGGCGGGCACAACAGCCAGCCCGGGCTGCTGCGAGAGGAGCGCGGGCAGGGCTCGGGGCTGGCGCGGCTCCAGCCCCCGATGCTGGAGGGGTGACGCTGCTGCGCTTGTCACATCCCAAACCACATCCTGTTGCCAAAGCAGAGCCTTCCCTGGGGCTGCACCTCAGCGCCTCGGGTGCGCAGCCCCGCCCGAGGGAGCGACAGGCCACCTTGGGTCCCTTCAGGGAAGGGCTCCGGTGCAGCGGCCGGGCTGGGTCGCGGCCGCCCCGCCAGCAGCCCTGCCGAAACTGCGGGCGGGCACCGGAGAGCCCCCGGCACTTCCCGGGGACCCGCCGCGGCACGGTGGTCCCCTGGGGCGGGCAGGGCCCCGCACCTGGCCCCGAGCAGCCCGAAATGAGTCACAGGAGCCGGGCCGTCCCCGCCCGAGGGGTGACACCGGCTCCCCCCGGCCAGGCACGGCCCCCACGGGCTGCAGGGGCACCCCGGGGAGACGCGGGGCCGGGGGGCGCCTTCCCAGGGTGCAAGAGAAACCCCCGCCCGGGCAGTGACACCCGCTGGGGGGCTCAAGAGGAAGCCCCCAGTTACAGGCGACCCCCGCATGCCGCCGGTCCCCGTCCCCCTCCTTCACCCCACTTACAGCGAGCCCCGCAAACGGCACTGCCCCCTCCGGGCACGGCGGTGCCCCGTGCACCACCGCCCAACCCACGGGCTTCACGGACACCGAGAACACAAGGGAGCTCTTCCTCCACGTGCACGGGTGTACGGTCCCCCCGTCTCAGTCACCCCGGGCTTGGTGCGTGCCCGGTCCCGGTCCCAGGGACGCCCCGGGCTCGGTGCGTGCCCGGTCCCGGTCCCGGTCCCAGGGACGCCCCGGGCTCGGTGCGTGCCCGGTCCCGGTCCCAGGGACACCCCGGGCTCGGTGCGTGCCCGGTCCCCCCGCCCCGGTCCCGGTCCCGGTCCCAGGGACACCCCGGGCTCGGTGCGTGCCCGGTCCCCCGTCCCGGTCCTCCCGGCTCTCCCACCTGCGGGGCGGCTGCCGCCGGGGCTCCGTGCCCATCCTCGCCGGCCCCGCCGGGCTCTCGCCGGGCTCCGCTCCGCGCCGGGCGGCACCGGCGGCACCGGGCGGGCGGGGCTGGCGGCGGGTCCGCCCCGCACACGTGCGCGGCCCGCCCCGCCCGGCCTGCCCCGGCACCTGCCCCCGCTTCCTCCGCGCAGGCAGCCCTCCGTCCTCCACCCAGCCGTCCCTCTGCTCCCGCCGCGCCGCCAGCGCCCTGACGTTCACCCAGCCACTCATCCATCCATGGATCCCCCGTCCGTGCAGCCATGGACCCATCTGTGGCACCACCACCTTCCCTTCCGCCCTGCACGCTTCCATTACCCACCCCTCCTTCTATCCCTTGCTCCTGCCACTCTGCCCCTCATCCATCCCTTCATTCAGCACCATCCTGCTCTTCATCCATCTGCCCTTCCCTCCATCGGTCTCTCCTTCTTTCCATCCATCCACCCATGCACCTTTCCAACGCTTCACCTGCCACTCCATCCATCCATCCATCCATCCATCCATCCATCCATCCATCCATCCATCCATCCATCCATCCCTGCGCTTGGGGCTCGAGGCTGGATCCTGCCTGGCCAGTGCCGAGGGCAGGAGTCCGGATTCCGACTTGTGGAAGAGAGTGACCACTGCTGCTGCTGCTCCGAGAGTCAAAACCTGCTCAGGGGCCAAAACAGCTGTGGGTTCCGCAGTGAAATTCCAGTGAATTTTAAAAAAAGCCAAGCCAGTCAGAGCCGAAATCCCCTTTCATTGGTGGCCCATGGAGACAAACGCCTGCTGTGCAAAGCACGTGGGACAAGTGCCCTGGGTGCTGCGTCACCTGTGCCAGGTGGAACCCCCGGGGGGGACGTGGGCTCGGCCCTCGCCAGCCGAGCGGCCACCAGCAGTTCAGAAGAAATCCCGAGGCAGCAAAAATAGCGGGACAGGGCAGGTCAGGTGGCGATGTCACCGTGCCCCTGCCCCAAAGCTGGGAAACAGCCAAGTGCTCGGGCAGAGCTTTGTGTCGCAGCTCCTCTCTGGATGCCAGTCTGGGATGCCAGTCGGACCTTTCCCACCCCTCCTGCCCATTCCCACCTCCCCAGCTCAGACCCAGCATCTCAGGCAGATCCCCGAGCTGGAGGAACTGGGAGTTGTCTGGAGGGCCAAAGGTGCAGGGGCCAAACTGCTCTGGCTGCTGGGGCTGCACCGTGTCCCCTCCTGTCCCCTGCTGTCCCCTCCCGTCCCCTCCCTCCCCACCTGAGGCTCCGGAGGGGGCCGGGGCAGCGGAGGAAGTTCCCAAACACGGGCTGGGGGGGCTCGCGGCGGCGGAAGGAAGCGGGGGAGGGCAGGGAGGGGCCGTGCCGGGGCTGCAGCGGTGACAAACAGCGCCCGGGGCCACCAGGCACATCCCAGCTCCCTTTCTGCCCCTGGAGCTGCTGGCCAGCCCCAGCAGGAGGAGGAAGCTGAGGCTGTGCTCTGATGAGCTCATTTAGACCTCTGGGTGCTCTGAAGTTCTCTTTGACCCCAGAGTCAAAGAATGGGCTGGGTTGGAAAGGACCCTGAAGGTGATCTTGTCCCACACTGCTGCAGGTGAAGGGACACCTTTAACTGGACAAGGTGCTCCAAGTCCCACCCAGCCTGGCCTTGGACACCGAAGTTCACCTCGCACTGAAGCTCAGTTCATCAGTCTCGTTCCCTTTCCTCTCTGCTCCACACCCAGACACACTCCCTGAAACAGCAACTCCAACCCAGCCCCACACTGGGAATCGAGCATCTCAGCCCCCCAAAAGTGCCATGAAGTCAGCAGCTCTGCACTCAGGCCAAGTTCTGCAGCCAGCACATCACCCTGGGTTGCCAGCACATCTCCCTGGGGTGCTGCTGCTGCTGCCCAGAGCGAGGGTCTCCAGCAGCTTTGGACGGCTGATCCTGTCCTTACACAGCCCCGAGGCTGCTGCTGGGGCCGCAGCGGCTCCAGGCGAGCCCGTGGCTCCCTGTCCCCGAGCCGCACAGGAGCGGGGCATCCCCGCCCGGCAGAGCCGCTCCGCAGCCTCCCCCACCGCCCGTCCCTCGCAGGGAAGGGGAAGCAGCGTTCTGAAAAGGGAACCTTCGTGTCTCTGGTTTTCCCCACAGCTTGTGTTTTTCATTTCTCAGAGCACATTCAGAGGATCCTGACAGGCTCTTTCTCAGCCCTTGGGAAATGAAACCGGGGCAGAGCCCTCGCTGCGGGCAGGTCTGACACCAGACCTTCCCCTTCCACCTCCCATGGAGGAGGAGAAACAACTTTATGTGACCCAGCCTGTTGAGGTGTCAGAGGTTTTCTGGCCGGTTCTGGCCTGGGAGGGCTCCAGAGCTGTCCCACTTTTAGCAGATGAGTCTGATCTGCCCTGAGCTGGCACTCCCAGCTCAGCCCCGGCTCCGGGCGGCGCTCAGGCCAAGCTGGAGTCCTCTCCTCGCTGCTCAGAGCTCCCTGCCCTGCAGCACGGGATTCCTGTCCCCGGGAAGGGGCAGAGCGCGGGGAAGAGCCGGGCCGGGAGCGGTTGCCCGTGGGCTGAGGTTTCCACCCTGTGTCCTGCCGGAGAACTGCACTGATGGAGCGGTTCAGCATCCCCCGGGGTGCAGCTCAGCCGGGCAATGAACCCCTGGAAAACACTTGCCAGGGAGCGCTGTGCCTCCGGCAGCCCCCCCGGGCCAGCCCGGAGCAGGGGCGATGTGAGGGTGCTGAAATTCCGGAGCTCCCGTGCTACCTGCGGCTCTGGTGAGCCTCAGCCCTCTGCCTCAGGCACCTCAGAGTCTCCAGAGCCATGAACCTTTCCTTCCCAGAGCAGCACAGCTCCTGGTGAGCTCCTGAGCAATCGAACCGGGCTCTGGGAGCTCGCTCTGGGCACTGCCAGCTCAGCGGTGCCCACAACAGGACTCGCTCCAGCTCCTGACAGCACTGAATAAATCTGGGCAAAAAGGAATAAATCTGGGCCATCCCTGGAGCTGGCTGCACGCTGGGCCTGTGCTGGGCTACCCCAGGCCTGGGGACAGCTGGACACGTCCCTGGGCAGCCACACAGCCAGAGGTGGAGGTGCAACACGCCAGGCTGAGAGGCCAGAGCAGCTGCGGTCTGTTCTCCTCCCCGGGGCACGCCCGGCCGAGTCCCACCCCCTCCCTGCCACTGCCCCTCCACTTTTGGGCACATATTTTATGATGGCCAAGGCGTAAATGAGGTGTAAATCTGAAAATCTGAGTGGAAACCAGAGTCCTGCACCCCTCAGGAGCTGGGCTCCGCCTTCCCAAATGCAGGGGCTGAAATACTTCAGCGAGGGACATCCCAGAGGAGCAAGGGACAGCCAGGATCCTCAGCTGGGACGCCTGGGGCTGCTCGGCCTCTCGGGAGGCTTTGCTCCCAAATGCTGCTGCAGCAGGAGGGGCCAGGTCCAGGAAAACGAGGACGGGGATCCCGTTCCGTGCCCCCGAAACGACCCCATCCCCAGCCCCATTCCGCATCCCCATCCCATCCCCAGCCCCAGCCCCA